TGGAGTGATGTTGCATCAACTGCACTGAGAAAGGCTTGTCTGTGCAACTGTTGTCTCTACATATTTGTCTCTGCCTCTCGTGGACTTGATCTCTCTCTCTCTCTCTCTCTGATTCTCCCCTTTCCTGCCCTTTCCCTAACCTCAGTCTGTTACTCCAGATTTACTCTATTGTCTTGGTCACTCCCACAGCTACAGTCTTCATAACCCAAGAGACACAATAAGCCAGTCTGCCCTAGAATATAGCAAAGATGCATATTTTCTATCCTGTCTCTGTCTCACCATTGGCAGCATCTAACGTTGATTCAGAGAATTTTCTGACCCTATCACTGCTGCACACATTGTGTTGTTGACTTACATGGCTAATGAATCTACACTCAGTGTTCAAGAAGATGCGAAGCTACTCTTGCCAAAGATGCTTCTCTGCAAAAAATAAACATTTCATTATGTGATTATGGATTATACATTTTTTTTCCACGTGAAGCCTCTCACCAAGGTTGTTCAAGAATCATTTTGTGACAAATGAGTTGTACGGTGAGCAAGGCTATATAGCTATTCCCATCCTATGAAGGAAAAGACAAATTGAGGACCAGGTTTGAAGACACCTAGGAGGAGAGAGCATCAGTCTTATTGGGGTCAAAGGTCGCCCCACAGGAGACGAGCTTCATAGCATCTCCTTCTTCACTGTCCTTTGTCCTAGACACCAGCAATGAGAGGAGATGAGCGGGGAAAAAAAATAAAAAAAGTGAAGGAATAAAATAATGTAAGCAGATGATGTAAGGGACGGATGGCGTGATGGATGACAGGGCACCTTGCTCTCTTTGTGTATGTGAATGTGTGTGTGTGGCTTGTGGGAAGTGTAGTCGTATACTTCTACTACTAGCCAATGCCTGTTGTAGGGGGAGCTGCGTTGATGGACGAGGAGCATCGTTTGCCGTTTCAGCAGTGGAAGTGCTTAAAGCATCCGGGCCCCAGGGACGGCCGATGTCACAGGCTCCCATCCCAGTGACTTATGGACCTGCCATGAAGAACACCTAAGGGCCGCTGTTGTTGGGTTGGACGTGGGGGGTTGGGAAGCGATAGCCCACGTGATGACAGACTCCCGAAAAGAAACGTACCTCTCATCTCTGAAACAGAAAGTCCTGCTTAGTTTCCTCATGAAGGCTGTTAGAAGTTTTGCGAAGTAATTCTGATGTATGAATGCAGGTGCTGGGAAGGAAGGTAATGGAGATTAATGTGAAGTAATCTCACAAATATTTAAAATGTTTATCTCATTATTTTTCTCAAGCTCCTTTGTTTTGTTTTTTTTTTTGTTTGTCTCTCTGCTTCTCCCAGTTTCCTTTTCTCTATGTTTAGGATTTAGCCTGCAGGAATAAATAGAATAGACGGTGATGAATGACTTTAAAAGGCTGCTTGTTTTTTTTTACACTGCTGTCTTGCTTTCCTGAATTTGGCTATACAGTATAAATACTCAGCAAGGTTCTCCTACTTTGTTGTATGTAAAATGAGACATCACCTTACCATGAATTTTATTTTTGCCTGCTACAAAAAATTCTAAAGGGAAAAATAATTGTCAAAACAAATCTGGGAGAAAAACAATTTCATTTTTATATACAGTGGTTGCCTTTCTGCATGGCAAATACTGTCAGTGTTTTTGTAATCTTGGTGTTTATTGATGACAGATACATTCACATTGTGGGAATCAAGAGAACACTGACTATTCTCAGGCAGGTTGAAAATGTATTTGCCACTTCTGTGCTCCAGGCATAGCCTGTTCTGGGGATTGCACGAGTAATGGCACTATTAGACTTAATTTATTGCCCAAACTAATAACCTGAAATGGAGAGTGTGATGAGAATATTACATACATGCACGCACACACACACATTAACGCTCACACACACACATATACGGTGCACGCGTGGCCATACTTGAACATCTCCACTCTGACAGTGCTGTGCCCTCAATCAGTTTTAATGCAATGAAGTCAGTCATCCTGTTCATCTCTCCCTTTTCTGACACTATTTCACACACATACACATCTACACACACTCTGTCATTCTCAGCCGGTGGTTAAACCTTCACTTTCTCACACATTTATCTTCATCACCTTCCATTTTCTTGCCCATCCAGAGATGGACCATTCTCACAGACATTCTGACGTCTCTTAGCAGGAAAAGCACAGGTGTAACTAATAACATTAATGATGGCTCCGTTCCATTTAGGCGTGCCAGTAATCCATGCCACAAAGCCAGCATGTACAATATCAAGGCCCTGGCACTGGCGCATCTAAATGGAATGCAGCCAGTGTTAATGTTGTTAGTTACACTTGTCTTTGACAAGTCAGAATGTCTGCTGTGAGAAAGTTCTCTCTGCCTATACCTCACTCGACCCCTCCATCCTTCCATTTCCACCAAGCAGGCTCTCCTCCCTCCTCAGTGTATTTCTCAGACTCAAACTTTTCTGACACAAGAGTGATGTTGATCCAGCCTTACATGGTCAGAACTGCAGGGATGGAGCAGTTACCTGCTTGGCAACAGGGCCCCCTGTGGCCACACTGCAGCACCGGAGCCTCAGTCCCAGCAGCTAATATGCTAATCAGACAGAGTCCTTGCGTATATGCAAATCCAGTAGTGATGGAAGGGAAGCTGTAATAAGGTAGCCTTGGATGGTCAAAATAAAGGCTATGGCACAGTGGAGCCTGAAAGTGACAAGTCATTCTGTCATTATAGGACCAGATTAGGCCAGAGGGAGAGTATCCAAGTACTAACCAGGTACTTTAAAAGGTAAATCAGCACTGAGTCATTTAGGGCATCCTTGGTGTGCGAGCAGGTGTTCTGTTTTCAACAGATGATGGAAAACACCTGCTGTGAAATCACTGATTGGGATGTAGCTAGAAGTGCAACATGCAGCTGCAGTCTTCTGCCCTAAATGAGTCAGTGCTGAATTTACCCTTCAAGAGCCTCTTTCAAAAAAAAATAGGGAACCGTTGTGGATGACAACAAGGATTTGGCTGATATATTTTGCTGTTGGCCAACAGTGCTGATACAGAATGTCTGAGACGAACCTGCCATGTGCTGGTATATTTTTAGGTTGGAAGTCCATGTGAAAGAAACAGGCATTGCGGTAGGTTGGATTATTTGCATATTTCTGACACATTTTAATCAAAAATCAATTTAAAGGTAGATATGAGTAAATGCAGGCTGCAGATGGGGAGAATTTAGCTTAGTCCCTTACCTCCCAACACACAGACAGGCATGGAAATACTTTTATTTACTTTCTTGCTTTTTTTTTTTTTTTTTTGTGGAGCAAAGTGTATAAATACCAGATAATACAGTCATTTTTCTAACTGACATTGTTGTGTCACTCAACAATACCTTTTTCCAAATACGAGGACAGACATTGTGTATTGTTGAAAATGCACTACATCGCCTTTACTTTTTTTCAATCTTTGTCAACTGCAAACTTTTCACCACCCCGTCTATGGACTGCAAAATGCGAGCGGAGGTAGTCAGAATTCACATCCAGCTGTGAGATAACGACACTGTTTCTCACAGCCTACGTTTGTGAGGAGCACACAGACGCACACATTTCAAATCAGGCGCGTAGAGGTCGCGTTTGTTGTCTGATGGGTTGGACTGGACATAAACTGTTTGCAGTCTATTTATTTACCAGCCAGTTAATTCCATAGCTCTGCGGAATGCACCGTTGGGTAAAATGATTGATCTGTCCTTGTTAGACCTTGCTGTAAGGAAGTTTTAGTTTAGACGAGAAAAGGGGAAAAGATGAAAATGTGTGGGTTTTTTTTTAGGCTTTAAATGAACCCTGCATTAAAGCACTTAGCGTGATGCGGCAGTCAAAAAAGATAATTGCGCTCCATTTTTCCAGAGAAAAAGACAATTTCAAGCATTTAAAGAGGCCAGTATTCCCATGTTATTCATCATTGTTTAGGCTTATTGTATCTTTAAAGGAGCTGAAAACATTTTCTAAACTGAAGTGTAATTTCTTAAGATGATCACAATGAGCTGACTGGCTTTAAAATATTTATATATGGATCTGGGAGACATCGGATAGAAACGTGTGTGGTGCACTGAGTGCGATGGTAAGGTGCCAGTAAGCTGTGTTGCTGTGTAGGAGCCATTCTGTCCTCACCGGAGTTCAGCCCAGCCCCTGTGGAGGCACTGAGTTTCATCCAAAGTCCAGCACATGCTCTGGCCAGGTCCCTCGCTGTGTGGGAGTGTGTGACGGGGACTGTTAGCTGGATGACAGCGAGAGAGAGTATGTGTGTGTGTGTCAGAGAGAGCGAGAGAGATCCATGTTTGGTCATTGCCCTTTTACTCATACTCTGAGGATTTACTATCTGAAATGGAACAAGAACAAAAAATCATCTCCAGCTATACGTACGTTGTAGCCAATAGGCTAAGCTGTTCAAATGCACGTAGCTGCTCTCACGTGTCTTTTTCTGGAATATAATTAATGAAACAAGGGGATTCATGCGCAAGAGATTGGCTGAACTTCCTTTGAACGTGATTTACATAAGAACACACGATTAGACAAGGTTCTGTCAATAGTGATCTCTCTTATTTGCATTCATGTGCGTGATTGCACAAGCAGCGCTGGTCAACACGGCATCCACGAGTGACTGAGTGACTAATCTGATAGGTAATCTGAAGCACTTATCATTGTGTTTGTTGTGTTAAGTCTTATTGACTACGGTATGGATTGTGGCACTTTATCAGCAGCTCTGCTACTACACCAAAATATCTGTATCGAGGAAGATAAGATTCTGTGTTTTTTTTTTTTTTGAAGGGAGTCATTCCTTGAGTCACAACTGTTGTCATGAGCGGATGACTCTGTATGTTGTCAGACTCTTCTGTACCTTTCCTCTGGTTTTCCGGCTCTTGGCAAAACCACCATGACGCATTGCCACAGACTTTACCGCAGACTGCCTCATTAACCATCCATTCCTTCCTCTCTCTCTCTCTCTCTCTCTTTGTCTCCAGCTCTGCCCAGCTACACTTGTGGTAACCCTGGACAGCTACTCAATGGCCACCAGCAGGGGTCCACTTTCAATATCGGAGACAAAATCCGCTACAGCTGCAGCCCGGGCTATGTGCTGGAGGGTCACACCTCCTTGTCCTGCCTTGCCACTTCAGCTGGTACTGCTGCCTGGGATTTTCCCCTTCCTTACTGCAGAGGTACGTAGCAGGGAAAACGGAAGGACGTCTATCATTCCAGGTCTTCAGACTAAATTGTGAAAGTTTTGGGTCCACAAAGTAAATATTTTAATCACATCTAATTTCAGCAGCTTTGGAAAGAAAATTTAGACCCCAAGCGTTTGACAACCTGCTCACAGATATGCCACTGATAATATGATTTATTTTGATGAATATTTGCAAAAATTGCTAATAAAAATTGTCGTGGTAATTACAACTGACAATGGAAGAGATGGGCCGAGTGTTAAAAACCAGACGGGCACAACCGAAACATGAAAGTCAGTAAGGTATTTTATCTCTTAACTCTCTAAAAACCATTAACAGACTGACCTTGCTTTTGAACTGAAGAGCAGTCAGCCTTAGTTATATATTCTTTTATTCGCCAGTTGATGAAACCCATCCTCCAGCCCACACACACACACACGCTAACATGCAATACATTTACACATGCCTCCACATGACCTGACAAGGTTTTCTGTGGTTATACTGATATCTTATTTACCATGGCAGGACCTCATGTGTTAGCTCCCAGTCAGGTGCTTGTGCCAGTTGTCCTTCCCTCAGAGCTAGCAAGCACCCCTGCGGCAGCGACACCTGCCAGTGTGTGCTGTCTGACCCAACGTGACACAGTTCTTGAAAATAGTTCACTGTAGGCAAATGTGACGCCAGTGCACACTATTTCACAGGATTTTGTATAAAATGAATTTGTTACGTAATTTGAAATGCGTGCACATGTCCTAGGCATGTGAGTTTGCGTGGCCATGCTATATATGCGTGAGCGAGTGTGTGTGTGAGCCTGCGTATCCATGTGGCCAATGGTTTGTGTCAGTGTGCCTGCTGAGCAGACCACTGAGACACTATGCCATCTGCAGCCAGGCCGGGAGTCAGGAAGCCCACATAGGAGCACACATGGCTGGGCACCATGCGCCAGCACAGTCTCCTCCACCCACCCAATCACATGCAGGCTCATGCACATGCCTGTACGTCCACATTTAGACGATATATTATTATGAGTGCATTTAGTAACCTAATCTTTGTCATTTCTTACATTTTATTCAAGACTCTTTCAATAACTCCCTCTTCTTCCTTCCCTTTGGCTTTTCTCCATAATTCACTCGTAATTTCTGTTTAGAGACACTTCTCGGCTCTTTCTTTCTCCTCCCTCTTGCCCACCCAAGCTCCATTCTGGAAAAGAAAAAAAAAAAAACAAGCTCCAGCACTCAAGGATGTGATTATGCCACCTTTTCAGCAGAAATTACACGCCAACAAGTTTCAGAAACTGGCAATTTCCCCTGTGATTAATTGAGGTCTCCCACCACATAAAAGTCAACGTGTACACCTGAGTGCTCCTTCATAATGCATAAGTGTATTGGTAATGTCATTCCAATTATAGAGGCTGCCCATATGTGCAAGAGCAGAACTCGCACTGTACTTTGGGAGCAGGGACAACGTTTTGGCACGGTCACCATTCTTGGACTCTGGAGACCGCAAACGTGCCAGTGCTGTCGGGCCAAAGATGATAGCCAGCCATTGATGACACAGATAATGTTTTACATTTCCTGTCTTGTGCTCATCAGTTTGTTTTCTCTGCTGTAATCTAAAAAAAAAAAAAACAACATAGCCACATCCCAATCTGCTCACACTGCCACTCTTTTCTCTGCCTTTTAAGAGTTGCACTTCCTCTTTTCCTCTACTGCATATCAGACAACTATTCGTCTTAGGTGTGCGCACATGCTTTGCTCTATTATGTCAAAAGCTCTCAGATTCTTAGCTGATAGTGTCACATGTCTGTTCTAAAGTCTCATTTATAGTTTCCCAGCTTTCTGCTGCGTGTATGTTTGGTGTGCATGAACATGTATTTGCTTCTTTTTGCTACATATTAAACATCGGTGTTGTTACAGCTTGCATGCATCGCCCATCCTTCCCCATATTTCGGTTGCCATGACACTCAGAGGAGTTGAAGCAGCTCTTTACACTTTATGGAAAACCATGACATTGTAAGTGACAGCCTGAAAATATGTACTGTTCAACCATGGGAGGCAGTCTGACATCTACAATTGACTGAGGGGGGGGGTGGAAATGAATACGTTTCTGCACACCTCATATATTGAAGTGTTCAACTGTTTTTTTTTTTAATGTATTTTTTTATATTATTTAAAACATATAGTGAGCTTTTGGGCCATTGTCATACAGCGCTTGCATTGACCAGCCGCAATATGCAGGGAGTGACGGAGAGAATCAAGGTGAAAGGGAGAGTTTGGAGTCAGAGACAACCCTTCAAGTGTGAAGAAACAGCCTTATGTGGAATATCAATGCACTCCCCTCATTGTTTTTTCTGTCTGCATTCTACTTCCTGTCACTCCCACTGCAACAATCACCTGTCACGCCTCCCGCCATCTCTCTCTCTCTCTCTCTCTTTCTTCATTGTCCACCCACCCTCCGTAGTTTTCTCTCACCCGCGCTCGCATGTCACCTGTCATCCTCCTCATCCCCCTCCTTTTCGCCCTTCTGTCGTGGTTTCCCTCCTATTGAAGTTCACACCTCACAGGTTTCCGCTCGTCCATACACTCCTTTGGCCTCCCTTAGGGGGGTTGCCGTGGTGACAGGTGGGATGGATGATAGACAGGGCCCAACGCTTCTGAGCTCCTCCTCCCGTCTTAAAAAACAGAAAACACCGCACACACAGCTGGCTGGCTGCCCCCTATCATGAATCTCACACCACCTTGATGCAGATATGTGATACTTCACATACTGTGGAAGTGCCGTTCGCAACTTCTTTGTTCGACGTTATGTAGTGCACAGTACTGATCTTCACATTATGCCAGTATTTAAGTCTGTATTTCGCAATCTTCGTATCACATACTGTATTGTTCAACGCTCTAATGAACATGTCACAAGGCGGGCAGGAAAATTATCCTGGCAACACATTAAATGCATGCTTTATTATTTAATAGTCTCCTTAAAGCAATCTTGAGGAGGGAAGAGTTGCTTTGATTAACACAAATCTGAATTAATCAGAATTTAATCACTTCCCTCCACATTGCATTACGTTGCATCATGCACCTTACCCTGCTTCCTGCTGACTGTAAAAGCCCTGTAGGGCATTTTTGAAATTCTATGACTGCTGTCTCTTTGGCCTATGGCAAAAATTGCAGACAAAGGAACAATATGCTGTAACTCATTGCACATTGTCATGCTCCTGAATTTGAAAATATGCAATTTGGCTTGTGGCAAAAAAGATAATGTGTGGGCAGAATAAATAAATAAATACCCCTTCTTTTATATATATATATATATATTTTAATAATATTTTTTAAATTGCACAGTATTCTGGGCAAAGCCTCACCCTCAAAATTTCCAATAAAATGAAAGCCGATGTGGCAGAGTTTGGAAGACGCAGAGGACAAAATGGGACAGAGGCACGCCGGTTAAATTACAACATTTAATTATGCAAACAGACTAACATTTTGATTCCCTCAATCAGAGTCAAAGTGGACAAAGACTTGAGGCAAACAGCCAAATAAGCCCTTAGGCATGGATGCAGAACTGAATTTGTTTGTTTTTTTAATTGAAATTGTTAAACCTGATACGTGTTTATACTTATACTTTTATCGTTACAACTTCAAGAAAACGTGTTTTTGTTTTGTTTCTGACATGATGTTACCCCCCGGCATGAATGAATGGCTTAGTTTGTCATGTTTCCTGTGAGTTGTCACACTTGACGGATACAATCGGATGCTTTTTTTGTATGTTTGTGTTTGTAACTTTAAGGAGCCCATGTTATGCTCATTTACAAATTTCAACTGTACATAGCTGCAGCAACTCTTCTCACCCTCAGTCTGAAAGATTTAGCACCTTGCCTGACAAAGCAGATCTCTGTGTATAGGTGTGTAGCGTCAGTAGGACCAGCTCTACTGATGGAATAATGGCAAGAAAGCGTGCCAAACTAGCTGCTAGTCTGCAAATGTGTTACCTGATGACACACCTTAGTAAATGAAGAAAAGCCTGACTGTGACTCTTGGATTTGTTATCCATAATCTATAACAGATTTGAAACCCTACTTAACCAGTTATCCAATGACAATTGCACACCTGGTCTAGGCTGATGGTATGTGTTTGTCTTTGTCTATTTTGACTTTGATGAAATTTCAACATGTCCGTCTGTTGGCACAACTAAAGGCTATGAATTTATCGGTGTGCTCCTGTTCCCTTTTATCTTCTGGAAGTTCGCTGTCTTTGAGCGAGAAGCACCTGATTCAGCTGCATTTTGCTGAAAGATGTACGGAAAACTGATAGTTTGGAGACATTTAGGTAATTCCCGTACATGTATTTTAACTAATAAATTCAGAAACAAACTAGATAATGTTGCATTTTATATTTGCAGCATCAGGAGCTCTCTTTCAATTTAGAAAATTCTGTCTCATGTCTTGCAAAGTGAGCTTTACTTATAGAATACAATGTATAATATGTCTTTTGCAGCGGTTTTCTATTTGTTGTATTATGTGTGCTGGAGTTGTCCAGTTAAGTGTTTCATACCTTCATATTAAAGCGAGTGGATTGCTGGCTTGTGTCGCGTGTCCTTACATAAGATATAACATATATATAATACATTCCTAATAAGTGAAAGGCCCTTTGTCTGACTAGAAATAGAACTAGACAGCAGCCAGGTGTTAGAATGTCTGTCCACGGTTTCATATAAACACTCTCATCTTGTATTTGTACCAGTATGGCACATTTTGAAAAAGCCTACATTAGCTCGCTCGAATCTTCCTCCAACAGCTTCACTGGTCAAAGTTGACCTTTAGCTGCAGTTAAGCTGCACTTTGTGTTCATTAACCTTTTACAGTTCTTTCCTTCCTACTGTTTCCATTTGTCTGTACATATTCAATAATCTCTGTTTGTCTTTTTTTTTTTTTCTTTTAAATAAAAATTTTACTTTCATTAAGCCTTTCTCTCTGCTGCTCTCCCCACAGCGGATGATGGGTGCGGAGGGACACTGCGGGGCCAGAGTGGGGTGATCACCACTCCCAATTACCCAGCTGAGTACAACAACAACGCCGACTGTACCTGGACCGTGTTGGCCGAACCAGGAGACACCATCGCCCTGGTTTTCTCTGACTTTCAGCTGGAGGACGACTATGACCTTTTGGAGGTCAGCGGCACCGAGGGTTCTTCACAATGGTGAGTAGTTCACCTGCAGTTTTTTTTCCTGTCTGGCGAGAGCTGTGTCAGGGCGGAGAGGGAGCCCAGATTTGCACCACCTGCAAACAGGCGCTTTTCGAGAGAGAAGGAACGAGTTAGGTGAAGTGAGGTTGTAAGTGGGTGGGTGTTAACGTAGATCCTGTGAAGCCGGATCATAGCTGTCTCAGAAGTGTTACTCGTGGTATCTTCAAAATGAAACAGAAAGATAACAGTCATTTATATGATAGGCAGCTCTGAGCTTTCATATTACAAACTCTGTTAGGGGGGGTATCGTGTGGTCTGTGGTTTTAAAGTGTAATTTGAACACTTGGTCTTGGTCTCACTCATTCTCTCACTCAGTCTCACACAAACACACACGCTCAGCTCTAATGATGAAGAGGTAGGCTATCCTGGCGTCAGTGTGGGTCTCTCACCATCTGTGGCAGCTCCTCCTCTCTCTGACAACTCTCTCAGCTCAGGAAGTAATTAGTGAGCTCGATTACCACCGCCAGCCGCATAGTGTTTTTCACCCACACATACACAGTAAAGCCCATATGGGCACCAATGGACATGTACACATAAGCATTCACACTCTCTTCCATGCTTCCATATATTTGTGCTGGCGCTCAAAGAACTTGTGCAAACAGATGTACTCTTTCACACTCTCTCTGCCACTTTTTCCCCGACCTCAGTCACCAACCACACAAGGCATGAAAAACATGTACGGGTCTATCACTATTTACACATCAGGACAGTGTGCGACCTTTGTCTTGGGTGAAATGTAGGTTTCGGTTCGGGATCATGCAGGAGACAGAGAGTCCAGATAAACAAGAGAAGACGGAGGAGACTTTGAAGTTGCAGCCACAGGCAGTTGGCAGGAAGGGACAAGGGGTAGCACTGGCTAAGCTCTTAAACACTGGAGACAGAGACTCAGAGAGAAAGACAGAGGGATAGAGACTGTTGATAAAGGAAACAGGTTCTGAAGGAATATATGAGAAGTCATCTTAGACTGAGATGGCCCCTGGAAACTTCATGTCAGTTTCACTCATTCACTCTGTAGTTAAGCAAAAACACTTCCCAAGAAGAACTTGATTGACTCTGAGCGGTCTTAAAACTGAGAATTCTGCCTTGTAGCCTGATATTAAAGTCTCTTTGAATCTCTGCTTGGCCAATGGAGAGTTGATCGCTTCCCAGACTCCCACAGACGGCAGCCTGACAATGCTTTTTTTTTTTTTTTTTCCTTTTCCTTTTTTTTTCTCCTCCCCACATTTTACGATGTCATCAGCTTCGTGTCCCAGACTTTGATTCACGCTCAGTTGTCATGTGGGGCGGCCAAATCTCTACTGAGTGTGTCATCTTTGTGGCGATTGTTGCCAGGGGCGCCTGTGGTAATGCACCTGCGGCGTGGCTGCGCTGTCCTATAGAACAAGGGAAAACCGTGGGAAGTAAAGTGCCTAGAAAGAAGGAAGGCCGACTATTGGCAAGCGATGCATAGCGCAAGTCACAGTTGATGGCGCACATTGCAAGGAAAAAGCAGCACAGGGGACAGAGGACATGGTGCAGACATGCTGGCTTGCCTCTATTGTTTAAGTATTTTCTAGCCATGCTAGCTTGGGTTTTACTCGCATATCAATGATTTCAAAAGGGTTGGCTTCCTTATCCCAAAACATAAAAACTCAACAGCCCACTGTCAACACAACAGCTCTAATGTCTCTAGGTAGCAGGGTGTCGACAATTTTAGAGTGAGCAGAGAGCAGTGAGGATACACAAAGGGGGATGATGGGGTCAAACAGTAAGAATGAGCAGACACAAGTGGAGAGGAGGGCAGGACCTTTGGAGGAGAGGATGGACGTAGAGTGGAGAGATGGGCTGAGGGATTACAACTTCCCAGCTGGTGGCCAATTAGAGAGGTCAGGTTTAGTGCTATGATGGTGCTGACCTAAAGCATGCATCCTCTCAGTGAATAGATCAGTGAACCCTCTACTCAAGTGGGGCTTAATGGTTGTGCTCGCACTCTATTTTCCTCACCTTGCAATCGGTGTGGTCTGTGGTTTTTATCACACTGGTTTGTGCAGGTAGACGCTATGGTTAAAAGACTGTGTCTGCAAACTCAGCTTTACAATCCAGCTTTGATACGATGCCATTTCTTATTACGTTGATTATATAACAAAGATATCTGCATTGTTTTGTATTGTTTTCCCCTTGATTTTCATATGAGGTGCCTTTTTCACTGCTGGATCATATCTCTCATTTGAAATTAAAACATAAAAACAGATTTGTCCTCGTGGCCTGACCAGATGGCTAGACTTAATGTATGATTTCAGTGCAATTTAGTGTAAATAGTATATGCGTCATTCTTTGGCTACTTTATTCAAAATGCATGGAGTTGTAAGAGCTGCATTGATTGATACCTGACAGACAGGTTGAGCAGCCCAGTAGTTGAGGAGAGGACAGTGATCAGGATCTAAACCATGCTTCCCTGATTGATCTGCAATGGCTCAACTGAAGACAGGTCAAGATTGCACGATCCTTATTCCCTTGTTGTGTTTATGTGTTTCTGTTTGGGCTTTTACAAGACGAGAATGAGCCTGAATAAACACAATCACCATCACGGACATCACCCCCTTTGAGTATATGAATCCGATCGTGCTCACCTACAATCTTGTTCACGATACCATCCAAAACTTTGACTGGCGGCCCTGCAGAGTTAACATTCTGGAGAGGCGGCAGGAAAAGACAGTCCTGAAGACCGACTTCAGAAGTTGAGATGTGTGTGTGGATTGAATGTGGCAGTGGGAAGGGCTGGTGAAAATGGCAAGTGAATTCTGCCTTCACTCGGCAGCACCCTGACAAGACTTCCTTGGTGCTGCTTGCCCAGGGGAACACATTACTCTACCATTACACTGTTTGCATCCACATTGATTTTCTACCCCATCACCATCCACTTTGAGGCAATGTAAATAACGCCTGACGCTCACCAATTGCCAAATCCTCATTCGCCCGCTCGCTACTAAGTGGAACTCACAGCTATTTGACTTGTAATTTTCTTGGGTGCTCAATTGTTTTCCAAAGCGCTATAATACATTTTCATCTATGAGCAGTGCTCCCTCGAGATGTTGAAATCAACTCCCGCAGCACCTTGGATACTGTAAATAGAGAATAAAATGCCTGAATCTTCACTTGAAAGCAGTCTGAAAATTGGCATTATTCCCTTGGTTCTATAAAAAAAAAAAAGAAGAAAAAAAAAATGCCATTGTGTTGAAAATAGTGCCACATCACAGTTAAGTGATTGCACCATTTTACAGAAAGTGTTTTCATACAAAACTTAAATCTGCGTTTTCTGTCGGGGTAAGTTTTGCAAACTCTATTTCCCATGACAGTTTTTTTTTTTTTTTCTTTTCTTCATGCATCCATCTCTGAAATCACACAGCTCCCTGGGTAAATGCAACCTATTTCTTTCTGTTAGGAGATCTGAAAGCCCAATGAGTTTTGATCCCTCTAGGTAGCCTCCCATCCCTTCCCCTCTCCCTTTTAACCCTATACCCAATGGACTTGAGACACTGACATTTAGTGAGCGTATGGATTATCCCTGCAGTGCCGATATGTGTCAACTTGTCCCAACCTGGGGAGGGAACACGTCTGTGTGTGTGTATGAATGAGACGGAGAGCGATAAAGGGTTTTTAGAGAAGAGTACAGAACACTGGATATATATTGATTGGCTGTTGGTTGACTCACCTGAGAGTGAGTGAATAGTCTTCGGAAAAGCTTTTTAAGTCCAGGGGCTGTTTTCTTTAGTTTCCAATGGGAGTTACAGCAATGAGTATGTTTTATTTTTGTGGAGATAAATGCCTCAGCTTTTGTTTTTGTGTTCTCAAAGACACTGCTAAAGTTTTTTTTTTTCCATGTCTGGGCTCATGAGATTTAAGTTTGGGTTTACTGCACTGCAATAATTTGCCTTGGATGGTCAATTTCCTGGTTTGTGTGCATGCAGCCGTACAATCAAGAAAGTCTGGATATTTGTACCTGTATGCAAATGTGTTGTGTGCATAACAACTGCTGTTCACAATGAAGGTAACGCGTTCGTCTCAGTGTCCCAGCGGAACTTCACAGCAACGTCTGCATGCCAAGGTATTGACTTCCAAATGCATCTTTTCCTGTTATAAACAGTCATATAAAGAGTGTGTGTGGAAGTGAGTGATTGTAAAGTGTATCTTCTGACCTTTGTTTGTGTAGCAGCACAAGAATAGGTAGTTGTCCACTTGTGAACCCCAAATTCCTCTGCTTGAAAACATAATTTAATGTACGTTCTGGCGCAATTGGCAGCACATGCAGGGGCATTTTGCATAGATGCGTTTTAAATGGATACTGTGAGATGGTTGAGTTGGCTTATATTCCCAGTGTGAATGCTTATTTTATTTTTTTAAATTAATTTCTTATGCTGTGGCCTGTTTCTAACAACACATATTGTTGGAGAAAATAAAACATTTAGCTTTGGAGCTTTACCAGTAATTCACTAGTCTGGTCACATTACTCTGGCATTTCAGATTCAGATTCAGATTCAGATTTGTTTTATTGTCATTGTAACAAGTACAACGAAATGAAGGTGCAGTCCTTTCAGTGCAAAAATATAAGAACTTGTAGAACAATAAAAAAAACTTTGTAAACACTATATACAATATAAAGGGAATATATATATAAAAACAAGCAAAAAGAAATGAACTCTATATACAAGATGAAATTAAATAATGAGCACGGTGTATTATTTCTTTCCTTGTCTTACTGTGTCTTCCTTAGTCAGTCTCCTCCCCCCCGCTACGTGGTTAACATAAAGCATCTGAGTAGATAATTTGATCTGATTGTCTAATGGAGTTCTACATGTGTCCAAATTTTGCGTCCCACCAAGTGCTTACTTATTGTGAAATTGTTGGATTTTCTTTATAACATTGAATAATATTCTTGACCTTACTATGTAAAGTGTCTTGAGATGACCTAAAGTGTA